GGCCGTGCTGGCCCTGCTCTCACAGCTGGGCTGGGCGGCGCTTGCTCGCCTCCCGTGTTGCGCTTCCCTCAGTTCGTCTGCTCAGGGACGTGCGTGTCAGGTTGGCCCTTCTCAAAACGTGGTCCCCGAAGTTGGGCTTCCTCTTTCTCAGGCCGCTGCCCCTGCTTCCCCTCACTCCGGGTAGCACCTTTTCTGGTTAAGAGAAACAGGTGGGGGCCACGCATTTCACAAGCTGCTGACAAATTATTAGGACACAGGTAGTAATTCAACAATTAGTAAACCTGCAGTAGTACGTTGCTCTGACAAATAGTCAGCGTTTGAGGGAAACTAATTGTATAACTTTTTAGTCCATGCCCTTCTTAAAATGTGCCGTGAGTTGTGCAGTGGTTCTAGAGAAACCTTCTGGGTCTGTCAGTGATGTGGGACACAAGATAAGCTGATGATCCATCCAATTTGGTATGTCCATAGCTTTGTCCTTGCAAGCAGCTTCGCTGTGTGTTAAGTTGCACATACCCTGAATACACAGGGACTTCACTTGGGATCACAGGCCGGCAGGAGTCGGGATCTCAGACGCGGTTCCGTTCACACGAAGCTCAGGGGGTGGTTCACAGCACAACTACCACCTGTCCTGCAGGTATTTTGAAGGCCTCTGGAGTGGAAGCAGAATAGAATATTTTTGATGGTGTCCTGCTTAAATCACGTTCCTTACTGAAACAACAGCTGTGCACAAAGTAATTCTAGTAAGCCATGTGAACAAAAGCAGGCGGCGTTAACAGAGCCAGTTCAGCTACTTTTAAATGCTGAGTAGAAACTCGGAAGGTGTAGGGCTGAGCAGTGTGAAAGCCAGTAATTTTTGCCCAATAATGTGCAAAAGCCCTATGTTCCATTTCCTTTAAATTAATGACCAAATTTTCTCCTTTCAGTGTTTATTTTCTGTTCACTTTCCCCTGGATATCTACTTAATGTTTCTTTCCATAGCATGTTACTGTACTGTACATGCATGTAAATGCTTATATGGAATATGCAGACTTATTAGGTATTTAGTGTGGGCAGACTAATGTTTGTCCAGAGAATGTACAGACAAAAGATTATAAGGAGTTTTCATTCCAAGAAGGAGAATGTATTTTCAAGCCAATGTCTTATAAACACATTCTCTTGTTTTATTTCTTTCCCTCAAAGGTTCTCGTAAACATGAGTGCCCTCAAGTACGTATTTGATTAAACAGAAAACATACTCTGTTTAAAATGGCAGACTTGTGTTTCAGAGAATTCCAAACTGTAAGTGGTAGACCCTCTGCTTGGTTTTAAAAAGTTGTGTTTAGGAAAGAAAAGTATGGAAAAGTGTCTATTTGAAACAAGCTCTATAGTTTACATTCATATATAGTTATTCTTTGTAACAGAGTGATTGCAACATCTGGAAAATCTGATTTTTTATGTGAAGGAAAACCACCTGCAAATCTAATCTTGCATGGCAATTCCAAATCACAGTTGTTGGAATTACTGATTTGAGTTTCTCTTGGCTATAGTGACAAGTTTAGGTCTTCCTGCTG